GACACCAACCTTTTTTGCTGAGTTAATTTAAAGCATAAAAGATTGCATGAATCCAGTGGTGGGATTCAGCCAGTTCTCATCACTTCAGGAGAGCCAGTTGTTAACTTTCTAAGTAGTTTGGTGAACTGGTTGTTGGAAGAAATTATTAGGGCTAAGAACCACATGTTAAATTATTTGAATCCCACCACTGGATTCATGCAATCTTTTATGCTTTAAATTAACTCAGCAAAAAAGGTTGGTGTCATCAGTTCAAACAACATTTTGATTCCATTCCAATGCAACATAGTGTGCATATGCTAGTGCTTGGAATAATTTAACATATGTTTCTGAATCAGATCACATTCTTTGAACCCCAATAATCTATCTTAGGTAGTAAAGATTTTAATTAAAAGGATGCCCAGTAGAGTAAACTATCGATATTGGAGTTGTAAAAATGATTATATACAGAGCCTCCAACAGATTAGAAAATATTAGTCTACATACTAATACCAAAAAGGACATGTAATAATGTATAAACTATCATACAATATCTTTAATTTTACATTTAAAGAAATGTTTTTAGAATCATACATAAAATGGAAGGTGTCAGATGTTAAAGCTATTTTTAGAAAAAGTTGGCAAACAAGAGAAATTATTGTTGATGCCACTACATTAATAAGGACCCTAAAATGCCAAAAGAAAATCAATATGTGCTTCTTTGATTATAGAAAGACTTTAATTGTGTTGTCCACATTGACTATGTCAAGCTGTGGAATGTCCTTAGGAAAACAGGAATGCCAGATCGTCTGATTGTTCTCAGGAAGAGCTGCACAGAATACAGGAAGTTGTAATCTGGAGGGAATATGAAGAAATAGACTAGTTCCAGGTCAGGAAACGAATGAGACCAGCCTGAATACTCTCTCCTTATTAATTTATTATATATATGCTGAATATGTTTTGAAGGAAGCTGGACTGGTTTTAAAATTAGAGAAGGAACATAAGAACCTCCTCTAGACTGACAATATTGCTCAGATAGCTGAAAAGTGTCCTCCTGAGAATGAGGTGGACAGTATCTAAATTTGATAAATTAAATAAAATAATGCAAATAACCTGCAAGTTCTAATACTGAAAATAAATGAGCAGTGAGGGAAAATGGGACTAAGATTAACTATAAAGAATTCAACCAGTTTTAGGAGGTACAATGAAGTAGATAACTTTTGTTTTTTTTAGGATTGACTATCAGCAACAAAAGAACCAGGAGTCAAGACTAGCACTTGATAGAGTAAAAATGACACTCTGTGGAAACAAAAGTTGAACTCTGAAGAAGCAGGAAAGAAAAAGTGTTGATGTTTTGAACTAAATGCGGAAGAATATAAGGGGGCAGATCATTCTGGAGAAAGTCTATCTATCTATGTGCTGCTGCAAACTGACACCAATTTGATGAGATATAATTAATCTATCAGTCATCTAGATATTTTAAACATATAGTTAAAGCTATTTTTCATTCCTGTTTCTTAGAATTGCTGCTGACTGCTGGATGCATAAACTACTAGGTAATACCAAAAGGAAAATTTAAGGCACAATTAAAGTCTCCTCTATTAAACATATTATTGCTATTATTCATTCTTTCCTTTTTTCAATAATATATAATAATACAATAGTACAGTCAGTTTTAACCATTCCATTTTTGTCTCTTATTATAGCTGGTCTCAAACTAAGTGTTAGATCAATTTCAGTCTGTTATCTGAAGCATCAAATCAATTTACTTATCAAAAGAAGCACAAATTCTGTTTCTTCTCCCCCCACCTCCTTTGCAGCTAGTATAATTATGACAGAAAAATATGAGAAGCAGCTACATCCTCTTTGACTCAAGTCAGCCCTCAGCCCATAGAATCAAAATGCTTCTCGTCATCTTTTTTGACAAATTCAGTCCCATCAGAAATTTTGTTTTTCTCGTCTGAACCATTCTTGGTGCTACTTTAAGATAGCTCTTGGTAATTGCCTAGTGCACCCTGCAGTTTTTTCGGCAAAAATTCTGAAGTGGTTTGCCTTGACTGTTTATTGCTGGGGCTGAGAGAGACTGGCCCAAGGTCATTTTGTTGGCTTTGAGCCGGAGGCGAGATTCACAGTCTGCTGGTTTCTAAGCTGGTGCTTTAACCATTGCACCAAACTGGGTTTTCTTTGCTGCATCTAATTATCCATTAATCAATATTTTTATCCCCCAGCAAATAGCAAATTTCACCATGCTCAAGGGAAAAGTCCATACCTATGATTTAAAAAACCATAGGTGCAAAAGAAGAGGTAAAGGATCTTACCGTATGTCATTCCCATCCTTTGGCATGCCAATATAATCCTAATTTATTGTATGCCATTTAATGGGGTGAAAATAGTATTAAAATAACAAAAATACATTTACAAAGTCCAAGGCTGTCACAACTTTTGAGCACCCCATATATTTTGCAAATTGAAAGTGGAAAAATTTGACAACCTTCTTTCCTGGACGTATTCTTGCTTTTTGGTACTTCTGTGCATCTTTGCTTAAAGTAGGAATAAACAATTATTTATAGTCCTAAATACTGTATTCATGAACGAATGAAATATTGAATTATTTTACAGATTAGGGTGTCACATGCATATGTGCATTTAGACAAACACTTTGCATAGTCAACTTTCGTACAGTGAATAAAGCACAGCCTGAAAGCATTGAAACTAGAGAAATTAGAACTCTTTTCATGCCAGAAACAACTATTTTGCAGACTATATGGCAGAGAAAGCCAAGGTTAAGGGGAAAAAAGCAACCTAAAGTCCATTAACTCAAAAAATTATCAAAAAGCAACCCAGAGCCTGAAATCTGAGATTGAAATAAATTTAGTCAGATATCCGTGTGTAGCATTCTACAGACAATATGTTTGTATCTATGGTTTCTAAATTCTCTGCAATTGCACCACTACTCTAACCTGCTTGTAGAATGTAGTGTTGAGTAAGAATTTTATAGCTAGAACTGATACCAAATCATAATTTAGCCAATAGGAAGTGTGAAAGGCCATGGGTCTTCTTGTTCTTGTCGTGAACTTAGCTGCAGCTCCCTTCTGTTAGTGTTGTTGGAATTTAGCTATTTTAAACAAAATCACTGATGGAAAACAGAGGTGGTATTCTATTGGTTAGGACTGATTTGCCAAATCGGTAGCTGAAATCATGAGTGGCCCTGCCTAACCCGCCTACCCAGCCTGGCTCTATGGCATCCCATTTAGGTCCTTTGTTAGAGAAAAGTGTATGCACGGAGGTGGTGCATTCATGTTCAAACCAGTGGGAAAGGTGAGTAAATACCACCCTAATGGGAAACCTAGTTTATTTCCTTCCCAGGGTTTTTCTAAAGTTTACTGGAAGGAGGGAGAAAGTTTTGTTTTCCCTTCTGGAAATTTGAAGCTGAATTTTTGTGTACATAAAACCTAAAGTATCTCTTTTGTATTTTTTCTTTCTCTTTTAATAACATCTCTGTTTTCTAGGACAGAGACAAATATGGATCTTGAGCAGAATTGCTAGGAGATGGGAGGAGGCAGTAAGGCTTCTGTCTTCAATGACCTTAGGGCTTATAATAAAATCAATGAGAAATTTGTGCCCTTCAAATATTGGTAACCTACAATTCTTATTCCTTGTCCCAAGTTAGACTAGCTATTTCTGATGGGGAATTGGAGTTACCAAGAATAGCTATCTTTTCTTCCAAAACTATTATATTTTTGATACTGCTGATGAAAGTGTGTCAATTTTTCCCATCTTTATATAATAATTTGAAGGTAATGGTTCTTCAAAGTAGCACATCTGTTTGTGCTTGAAGCAAAGAAAATTTTGTACCTTAAAAATATTATTCTTCTCTAAAGAATAAGCCATTGATTGCTGCTGCAGATTGCTCTGTGGGATATCATAATGTAAGTGTTGTCAGATTTATTATATACCACCTACGACATACAGGGTGGTGAGGCACACTACACCTACCCCATGCCAAAAATATTTTTGACATTTAAAATTAACCAGTGCAGCTATTATTCCTCCCGTACCATTTCAGTAGAAGAGTACTTAGATTAATACAGATGACCACGTTCTAAATTGGAAACTATTAATACAGATGACCATGTTCTAAGTAGGAGTAAGCATAATGAATGTGCAAAAGGGGTTATGTTGGGGAAAAAAGTGATGATATCAGATAAATGCCAAGACTTACGGACTTGAGGAAGC